CCAATATAGGCATTTTTTGAGTTCCTATTTACGTCCATTAAAATATCGTAAATAAATAATTTTACAACAGCACGAATCTACAAAATATTGGACGAGGACTTGTCACACTACAAAAGTGAGAATTCATTATTCAAATTACGTTAGTACAGTACAGCGAAGCAACAGAGTATTCAGCATGTAGTAGGTAAGTGGAACATATCACTTCAGTGAGTGTGCCTGGTACCGACGCGTCTATGTTCACTATATATGATGGAATAAAATATATTATGAAGTGACCATGTTATTCATTAAAATAAGTCAATAGGTGACGAATAGAAATGTCTACATCCATCACAATATTTTAGCATGTATTATATAATCCATTTTTTACCATATTCTTTACCAGTAAGCCTATCTTTCCTACTTTAACATCGTTCGTTCGTTCTTAGACCTCTGTGACCTAGGACTATTTGTATTTTAGGCCACCGGCCCCTTTACATAACGAAGTAACATTTAAAGAACGGAAGAAAGTAAATCACGTCTTCTTATATAAGCTAAGTACAGATATTTCGATAAATTATATAATGCATTACGATCATTTGATGACATTAAACGATGGAACTTAAAAAGTGTTGGATTTATGTAAAAAAAAAAAAGATGTAATTTAAGTTTTTTCTAATATCATTATAACGTAAACATATTAGAGTAAAATGAAACTCATCTTCTATGCATTGATTTGAGCATAATTTACATATTCTATTGTTTTTGCTCACCTTATTCCATCTGCCCCTCTCTAAATCTAAAATACTAATTCGAATGTTTGTTGAAATACGTCTATAATCAAATTTGTCTACAAATAATAAATAATTTTCTAATTTTAATTTATTATTAGAGGATTTAAAAGGATTCAATGTCGAATATGTTTTGACTTTTTCATTGACATGTTGTCTTTCTATATAAATATGTCTTAATTTAAGCTCAGAAATAAAAGAAGCAGAATCATTTACCTGTTGTGAAAACCAGTTGAACCTACCCAAAACCAATTGAAATAAAATTTGCTTAACATAAAACCAGCATAATTAATTTCCTTCGACTTTTCTAAATTGGAAAGGATAACACTCATAAATAAAACGATCATGGTCTGTTTGAATTAAGCGTAACCAATAGCGGAATTAAACATGAATCTTCCAATTTCTGCTTTTACAGCTATATCTGGTGCATTTTTGCTCATACCTAACACATGGTTACAAAATCTATACTGAATTTTATCAATATCCATATAATTTGACATGCCCCATCCTTCACTTTCATGTCAATATTGGTAGAATGTTTATATCCAACGTATGATTCCATATTAGCTAGGTAACAACATAATTGGCTTAAATAACTAAAATTTGTATTGACAAAAGGTTTTAAAGCAAAACGAGCTTTATTAGTTTGATTACAGTTTACTTCTGTAGCTCTTTTCCATTGTCCAGTTGAACTAAACACAACTCACAAATATTTAAATGAATTAACAATTTAGATTGGTTCTCTATGGTAATGCCATTTTCACATTGTTTTAATTTGTCACCTCTTTTACAAACTATGATTTTGTTTTATCACTATTTTTGTTAAATTCCATGCTTCACAAAAATCAAATAGTGTATTTAAAGATTGTTGTAATCCATAAATTATTGTATCGTTTACAAGAATTAAATCTTCAGCATAAAGTAAGTGATTAAATAATGAATTTTTTTTTCTCTGTGTTCAATTTGATTTAAAATTTCAATTAAGTCATTAATGAAGATATTGAACAATAATGATGATAAAGGAGAACCTTGTTCTACACCGATTTTACATTGGAACGGAAGACCTATGCTATCACTAATTTTCACATGAGCAGTTAATTTGAGTACAACGATTTTACTATCTCAAACATTCTGTCATTTACTTCAATTAGTTTTAATTTATAAAGAAGGTAATTGTGATTTATTGAATCAAAAGCCCGTTTTAAATCTACAAAGGCTACATACAATCTTCCTCTTTTTTTAGCTAAATATTTAGTTATTACGGTTTCCAAAATAAAAAATGTTATCCATAGTACGATATCCTTTACGAAAACCGGTTTGTTTTTGGTTTAATATATTAGAATTTCCTGCCCATTCAGTTAACATTGAGTTTATAGAGAAAACTTTACCTAAAATTAGAATAAGTGATATCCCTCTATAGTAATTTGGGTGTTTTTGATTACCTTTTGTGTGTATCGGTACAATTAAGCTTGTTGCACAATCTTTTGGAAAATTACCATTGTGCAAGCCTGTATTTAATAAACATCTAATATTATTTTTAAAAATGTGTTAGTGCTTTAGAAAAAAGTTCGATCACGAACTCTTCAGTTCCCGGTGCTTTATTTATTTTTTGATATTTATTGCATTTTTTATTTCATCAAATGTAAAATCTCTGTTTAATTTGTCTAAATCACGATTATCACAAATATCTTCATCATTTAACACATTTAACGAGATTCTTAAATAACTGTATTTTCTGGTTGAAATAAATCTCTAAAAAGGTTAAACCAATCTGAAGTGATAATTTTTTAAGACTCTTTTAATATACTCCAAAATGATTAATTATCTTTTTCGGCAAGTGTTTTAACTATATCAATGTGTTCTTTGTTCATAAATAATACTCTCTTTCTTTTAATTATTGTTTTGTATTGTCTTTTATTACATTTATATTCATTTAAATGTATGCTTTCGTGAGATTTTAACATATTGTTTATATTTTAGCATTTTTTTCTTCAAACCAGCAGTTACGAGAATATGCAAATTCATACCTCAGGTTTATCACCGGTTTACACATACATTTACATACATATTGAATAGTTTTACCAATATAATGAACTGTGTCGTCAATATTATTTTCGTTTATTGCTTTATCAAAATCAACTTTAAATTCTTTAATTTCTTTGTGTTTCAGTTTTGCGTTATAATTTTGGCAATTTATTTTCTGACCAAATATATTTAATTTGCTTTTGAAATAAAGTTTCATCATTCTCGGAATTGACTTCATCATTTTCTGGATTAAATTTAGCATAAATTAAACCATATGTGAACGGCATATGATCTGATTCAATACGGTCGTCTATCTTATTTTATTAGTTGAAAATGTTCAAAAAATGATTATAAAAAATCAAAAACGCTATTACCTTGATGACTTATGAACGTATATTTAGATGAATTAGGCCTATTACTTGAGATTCTTCATTTGAAATACGCAGACCTGTTACTTTACAAAATTCCAATAAATCTTGATCCCTTCTTTCTGCACCTTCTCCTGGAATTATCTGGATCCCAGTACCTCATAGCCTCGTAATTCTAAACTGAATTTACCAAAAAAATCAATTTACCTCAAGAACCAGACAATCTATACCAACCAAAATCTAAAAGTTAGCACAGCATTTGGACAATCTTCTTTCACCTGTGTAGGAATAATTATATGGAACAGTATACCCTTCCTTTAATGTCATAAAATTAAAGTCACAACAAAGTTACATTTACACAATAACTTTTAGCTTGGTTTTGGACTATCTGATTTTTTAAAACTTAATTTTAATAGTGTATTTTGTTATGATAAGAGTTGGGCTATTAATTTAGTATAAGAAAATAGAAGCTGTGTTTTCATGAAAAAAAATTAGATGAATAAACAAAATGAAAAAAATACACTGAATATCTTAATTTTAGGTATTTAATAGTTCAAAAATATTTCGTGGTAATTCATTCAGGTGTCTAAAGTTGTAATAATTTATTATACTGTGTATTTACACGATTTAATTTAATAATTTAAAAGCAATTAACCTTACTCCTATCTTTTTTTTGCTATCAGTCAGTAACCTGATCGATCGTGTGCTTGCTAGTGGCTGCAGAGAGCAGTTTACTTACTCACCTTAAGGCGATATTTTTGATACCTTTTTTGGAAACACGCCGCCCCCCCCCCCCCCCCCCCCCCCCCCCTTGAAAATAAAGATTTGGAATAAAAATAAAATTTTATTTTTGACCAGTTAGCGGACCCTTCGCCGTAAATAATTGGAAATCGAGAAAAAAATTATTTTTATTTTTATTCCACCCGCCGCCCAGTAAAATTTTACCAAAAAGAATTTTTCATGTAGTTTTATATATTATTAGTGTTTATGGTAGAGATAAATTACGTTATTTTGTTTTTATTATATGCTTTGGAGAATCCTTAATAGTGCTTTACTTTTGGGTATCCTTGAAGGGAATCATATTGTATTTTACTTAGATAATAAAATGTAATAAATAAATAAATAAATAGATATTCAACTTGTAAGTTTATTATTCTGTAAATGACAAGCTCGTCTCGGCTGAGTCTGTATTGAATATACATCTTTATGAAAAACATATTTCCCCCCATCCATATTTGAACCCGTCTGATTTCCTTTAAGTTATTGATTACCTATGGAAACAAGCTCATAGAGCTTATAGGGTTATCCTCTTGCTCTCATTTTTGTGTGTTTTTATGTACTTGTTTTTTCTTGTGATATTATAATAATGAGGGCAATAAATAATAAACAAACAAACAGAGCTATTACGCCAAAAATTTTCCCATTAGGACATATTAGTATTTTTCTGAAGGTATTGCGTAAAATGCATGCCAATGAATATATTAAATGTTACTATAAGTTACTTTTTTACATTTCGAATTGTATAGATGATTTATGAGGCGTACTGATATGTATTTTTAGATGTATGTAAACAAAGTACAAAGTGATAATTTAAGTACAAAAAAATCTATTGAAAGTACTCACAATAATGAAAAATTATAATGGCGTAAAATTTGATAAAATGATAGATTTATTATTTCTAGTACCACATCGTTCTCAAGAGTCCAAAGTGGATGTGAAGAATAACAGAGTCGGAGAAATAATTTCGGAAAACTTAAAATATTTGTATATACGACAAACACTTTTTACGAATTTTCAAAGTAAATTATCTGCTAGTTTTCTGTGTGTTGGGGAAAGTATGGATATACCTAGGAATGGCACAGCTCACATAAAATTGCAAGATCCCTTGGTGCTGGTCGTAGCTCGTTGGGTATTGGCTAGTGTTAGTATTATTGCGAACTCCCTCGTCATATTTGTGTTCGTCTACAACAAGACTTACAAGAAGTCTTTGTCGCTCAAATTACTTCTCCATCAAGCAGTGATTGATTTGACCGGCTCTTTAATGTTTTTGGTCTTCTATAACATTGATGTTCCTGATGGCACGGGTGGAACTATATTCTGTAAAATGGGATCTCTGTTGGCGTACATATCGTTAGCGTCAGCATACAATTTTGTTACGATTACAGTTGAACGATATATTGCTGTTGTCCATCCAATAATATATCGCCAGAGATCTTTGGGTGGGAAAATGAAATACCTGTCATTCAGCATCCCTTATGTTTGCAGTGCAGTTTTAACGGTAGTTCACACTATATCTATAGATGTGGATGCGAATATAGCAGCGTGTATAGTTAAGGAATTCAATGCTGTTGCTGAAGTACTATTAATTATTGCTGACTGGCTGATACCAATTTCTATTATGCTGTACTGTTACGTGCGAATGCTTTTGAAATTACACAAAACACGAGTAGTGAGTCAACAACCTTCGTCTGAAGTTCCAACCAGTAACGGCAGAAGATACGTTAGCATAGAGAAAGACCTGTTGCTTACACTCATTTTAATTACATTGGTTTATATTATTACAATAACTCCATACACTGTTTACTTGATTTTATATGTAAACCACAGTGATAGTAATACATTTTATTTGATAGCTGTGTTGTTGATAATTTTAAATCTTAGCATTAATCCATTTATTTACTCTATGGTATACAAGGATTTTCAACGAGGATTTCGCAAGATCAGAGATAAAATATTCTAGGGTTAGAAACTCAATTTGTGTGACTACAGCTTTTAACTAAAAAGCTACAGAATAGCTTATAATTATGTGTTCAGTTCAAACCGGTGTACAGTACTGGTAGAGCCTAAAAGTATATAGATACAGGCTATATTCTTTTGAATTGCGATATTGCTGTATTAAGTATCAAGTCAACATCTGCTTGATCATTTTCATCATGCCATCTGATGGACCTAGCAGAGTACAATGATTGTGCGAGAAACTCTGTCAGCTATGGCTGAAACAAAATATATAGCAAGTGTGTGGATACGATAAGAAGAAATAATTGTGATTTATTATGCGAGAATGTGTTGATTTAAAAGGAAAAATAGGTTATGAACGTATGCTAATTCCATGATACACGCTATTATTGCTTGCAGATGTTCATTACGCCTGTTGTAAACGTTAATACATAGTGATCGTTTTTATTTGAATATTTATTGCATTGTGCTGAATATTTAATGTAGGATCCCATTGTAATTTAATGTTTTGGGTAAGGCCTTAGTAGGACCTGATATAGAGGGCGCCGTAATGCGGAAGGTCATGAACGAGACTAGAAAAAGCATGGTGTTCATGAGACGGTCTGAAACGTCTTTTCACCTAATTAGCTGATTAAAGCATTGGAGAGTTGAAATAAAGATACATTGTTTTTTTGAGTAAATACGACAGTCCGATGTGTTTATATAAGTCTATTCTCGTGAACACTACATTTAATATGATACATTACTGTGTATACCTTAATGTAATAATAATAATAATATGTCGCTCTTATATAGCGCTTCATGCACAATGCCTCTAAGCGCTTCACATTACTACCCCGGTCATTGGATCAAACACATATGGAACGCATACTCAGCTCCCTGGGGAGAATTCCATAATATTGCAGCTAGTAATCAGCGCAGTTGTGTTCGAACCTACCAGGTAGATTGACTTAATTGGCTTAATATTTGCTTCTCTGTTTCGCAGGGTTATGATTGCCATTCTTGGGCTTGTTTGGATTATTGTTTCGTCAGTTGTGTTGCTGTTTGGGTTGGTATTGACGAAACTCATCCTTTGCTCTAATAAATAAAGATGACCCATACTGCAGTCGTTTATGTTTTGTTCTTGTTGTCGTGAGAACTTCAAATATTGGTGACGACTGGTAGCGCGCTATATATACTATTTGTGATGAGCTCAAAAATAATATAAAAAAATCAACAGAATTGATAATTTGTACAAATTTAAGTAATTTCAATTCAAAATTTTAATAAAATGTGTACTATTGTAAATAAATGTTGTGTAAATAATTCAATTCTTATATTCCTTCCATAGATCTATAAATTGGCTGATATTAAAATTAAGAATAGCAGATTAAACAGGATGAAATTCTTGAGAAATTAAGAATGTAATATCGATAAAATTGTTTCATTGACTGTTTAAGAACATCCATAAAATAGTTATATTTTCTTCTTTTTTTTTTAAATTTTGTTTAATTTTCTTTTTTCAATATTCTAAGCATAATGAATTGTTTTCTATCAGTAACAATTTTATGGTCTAGGTAAGAGAAAAGTATTCATTTATGGACTTATTCACCTGCGTGTGGGATGATTTTTGGACGATTTTTGTATGTCGGGCATAATAAGACGACCCCATGTTTTCAGTCTCATGATTAGTCGTGGTCGACTAAATATAGCTTTAGTAAACACCATTTGACTGAGTGATTAAAGCAAGGGCGCTGCAATCGATAGTTATATAATGGCATTGGTTCAAACAGCACCTCGCGATTTTAGTGGTAGATAAGGACTATAAACATGTTTCTGCTAAAAATGATTAAATTTCTTTAATGTTTAAATGAAGTTTCTTTGTTGGTGTATTACTTATAATGTTTTCTTTGTTGGCTGATTTAAAAATTATATAATAATGATAATAATTTATTTGGATATGCACTTTTGAATCAGTGGCACTCAACCACAGGTGTGGTGCATCCTAACAAAAAAATATAAAAATTACAATCAAAAAGAAAGACAACAAAACAACAACAAGATAATCAACTAAAAGAGAATATATTTCTATTTTCTCTATGACAAGAAGAACATCAGTCTCGTATAAGTTTCCTATTGATTGTCAATTGTATATATTTAATTGTTGGATTATTTACTTTTTTATTAGGTTTGTTTGATTCAATATGCTCTTTAAAATACGAACCAGAAACAAATGCACATGAACTGTTCAAGTCACTAAACAAAATTGAGAAAGTTTACTTAGTAGTCGAATGAAAAGTTGATCAGGAACAGCATCGAAAAAAAGTTTACCTGGTCAAATGGAAAAGTGATAAGAAACAAAGTTTATATTACTCAAAAGCAATGGTTGTGATCGGCTGACAGCGTGAGTTGAAAAGATTTGGGAGGACTTGACTCACGCTGTCAAAAGATGATTGCGAAGGGCGCCACAGCAATGATAATACTTACTGAACTTTTTTGCTTTTAGGACTGTCATAAGAAATATGGCACTCCAACAAAAATATTTTTAGTAACATGTAACACATTCAAGGACAGGGTATCTGAAATTTACATGTTAATTTTCACAAGTGAGCATAATTGACCACCAACACTTCACGAATATACTCATACGATGTTTATGCACATTACAGGATGATGATAATGTAAAGCCTTAATAACAATTATTTGCCCATCCCTCCCAAATGTTTCTTTATATTTCCCCGCATCATTTGGGGAGGGGTATTGGAGAGGGTTACCGTCTTTACCTAAGTAAAACAAAAAAGAAATAAATAACCACCTTC